TGCTGTCTTTAGCTTATCTCTTGCGCTCCATCGGCCTCGCTCTGGAGTCCCGGTGCGTGCTGCGGAGGCATGCGTACCCGGGGCAGCTGGAAAATAGCCACCTGTTTACTTTTTTTTAAGATTTTATTTACTTATTTGACAGAGACAGCGAGAGAGGGGGCACAAGCAGGGGGAGGTGGGAGAGGGAGAAGCAGGCTTCCCGGGACCAGGGAGCCTGATGAGGGGCTCCATCGGGACTCCATCCCAGGACGCTGGGATCATGACCAGAGCCGAAGGTAGACGCTAAACGACTGAGCCACCCGGGCGCCCCCACCTGTTTACTTCTATTGAACAGATTAATTTATCTTATTCCAACCCGGTGCTGGGCAATCATAGAACCACAAAGATAAAGAAATCTCTCATGGGCTTTTTCTTCTGCGAGCTTAAGCCAGCTGGGGAGTGTGATAAGTCAGGGGCATTAAATTTTAGGACTTAGAAGATCCATGGGAGATAATAATACACATTTGTGAAACATTTGTGTGCCTTAAACTTTAAGAATTAACTTAATTTCAGTAGATTGAGTGGGGGGTGGGGGGAGTGTCAGGGCAGAGGAAATGAGGAGAGGGGAAGGCTGGGGCCTGGCTTAAAGCCCAGCTGTTTATAAGGGGAGTTAACAAAAGCTGTGGTTGGAAAAGTAGCTGTGGGGCAGTTGCAGTGGTCTCAAAAATGCCAGCTAGGAATTCAGATCCCACTCATGTTGCAGGATGGATTAAAAGAGGCAGAGCCTGGCGCAAGAACCCCCAGGAGGGCAGAGCAGGCTAGGGTTGCAGAATGGGGGCCAGTTAGGGGTTTTTTGCCCTCTCCTCCCAGTGCCTCCTGTGCTCTCCTCTAACACTGGCTGCAAACATGGATCCTTGCGAGTGACTCGGCCAGCTTCCCCGGCCCCTCTGAACAGAAGGTTCAAGCCCAGAGTGTAAGCAGTGCATTATGCAAACCCCTGCTGCCCCCTGCCCCCGCCAGCTGGCATCCTGCAGCCGAGTTTGTTCATTCAGCACTTACCGAGTACCCACAATGGCACCCATCACTGCCTGAGGTCTTGGCTGTGTTCAGTCCTCAAGGCCTGCACTGCACGCACTTGCTGTGCCTTTCGAAAAAGCTTGTCCTCGCCCCCTTTTCCCTCAGAGGGAAAAGAAAGTATCTATTTTCATCACCACCCTCATTCAAGCCTCCCAGCTACCAAGGCTGAGTTTTGGAGCAACAGCCTAAAACACCAGCTGGAAGGCTGGGCACTAAGCACCGGCGACACACAGGGTGAAGAACGTGTCTTCTTTGTAAGTCACAAGAATGTGAGCTGTTCCCTGGCTGCGTCCCTGGCAGGGGGGAGAGGGAGGCTATGCTCATGGGGGTGTACGGTATGCCGTTCCCGGCCGTGCCCGGCAAGCCGCAGCAGAAAACACTTTGTCCTGGTACAACAATCTGTGAGCATCCTGAACTGTCGAGGTGTGTGTGTGCGCGTGCACACGCCCAGGGAGGGCAAAGTGGTTGAAAAGACATAATGAAATGAAAGCTTGTCAAGGTGACAGCTCCCTTGGGCGGAGAGAGCAAGTACAGAGAAACAGCTGTTAATAGGTACCACGGTACGTACATGAAAGAGTATTTATTGAAAACATGGTTACTGATGGGAAGCTCCTGGCTGCTCTCGGTTACTCTCTTGGCTCACAACTGGAAGTGGTATTTTTCTTTTTTTTGTTTTAGGGAGAGCCTCCAATTTTATTTTCCCTCAAACATTCTGTCCTAGGATAGGTAGATCTTATATAAATATATATACACGTCTGTATAAGTATGGCCTCTAGTAAAGAAAATATATAGTACACTCTTCATCGGGCAGTACCTACCATGCCGGCCTACCAAGACTGAATGCCGCTGTGTTCACATGTCCAAGGAGGGAGGCTGGGCGCGTGGTTTACATGTGCCGCAGCACCAGGGAAGCCCGTGGGCACAGCCGTGGCCTCAGCTAGCTCCCTGAAATCATGGCCAGTGGCAGAAACCACAGCACTGGGATGGGAGGGCGAAGGGAAGGCCAAACTTCCTGAGGTCGGGGAGGCCAAAGGAAAGCAAAGAGGAGGGGGCTGCCATTCAGGTTAGGCGGGAGATTTCTCTCTAAGGAAGGAAAAGATAAAAATGGTGGGGGGGGGGAGGAAGGGAGTGGACTCCAGTGGCCTCACCAGTCTCGGCCCAGGCCTTGTCTGGGCTCTCCCTGCAGAGTTCTTTGAGACTAGAGGGTAGGACTTAGCTCGCATGTCTTTGACTTGCCAGGATGAGAGCCTGAGAGCTTGGTAGGGAGAACTTTCCATCCGCCCAGACAACTGTGTGGGCAAGAGAGATCTGGTGGCTCCGGAGACCAGAGATGTTAGAGCCGAGCCTCAGTAGCAGCAGCTTACTGGCACTGAATGAGGCCAGAGTGAGCCCTCACGAAGGCGACGAAAGCAAGGGCAAGGCATCTACCAAGTAAAGGCCAAGGCCTCTGCTTGGATCTGAGACACAGGCATGGGTCACCCAAAGGCAGTCTCTCTGAGGCTCTCAACACACCTAGAACGTCTGTCCTCTGCGGGCAGCCTTTGCTGGGCTAGCTCTTGCCCACACGGGATCCAGCTGACCCGAGAGCAGGCTCAGGAAGAAAAGGTGAGTGACTCTTGTTAACTCCAGCCCAAGCAGTCCCTGGCCTGGAAGACAAGGGCGTCTGCTATTCATTCCTCACGCTCCGATCCCGGGCTCCGCGGTGACAGCGAGGGCCGAGCACCCTGCCTTCGTGACTTATGGTGGGCAGGGACCAAGAAGAAGCTCTGGGTGGTCTGAGGGGAGTCTGAGGAATGGCTGGCATTCACTGGCCACCGTGGTCACTACAGATTCTGTACAAGCAAAAGACAAGGCACCAGTCTGGGTGTTTCTCCTGGGCCCCAAATCCCTTCCTGGCTACCGTGGAGTCTGGCTCCAGGCTCAGCCATAGTGATAGACAAAGTCATAGCTGCTGGGCTCCTTGGGCACTGGCGGCGGGGCTTCAGGAATCTGGATGTTCTCCAGATCCAGGAGCCGCAGCTTCATCTCCATGCTCAGCAGGGTGTCCAGGTCACTCTTGGTCAGCTCGCTGGACATGTCCTTCCCCAGAAGGGCACTGAGGCCGTCGATCCAGATGCAGTACTGTGGAAGCAAGTTGTAAAACATCACATGGTGGCCCCTGGTCAGCCGGAGGGCCTGCCAAGGTCCCTTTGATGACAGGATTCACCGTAGTCTCTTTTGACACTACTTAGTATAGGCAGAGCTGATTTGGGATAATGGCAAAGATAAAATGGGAGGTGATCATTCACTTTCCAAAAAAAAAAAACCTTTTGGCTTTTATGAGGGATTTACATTTAAGCTTCCTAAGATAATCTGAAATATGATTTATTTTTATTTATTTTTTTAAATATGATTTTTAAAAAATGCAACTAATGAACACAGCAAAACAAGACCTGAGTACTGGGGCATCAACTAGCCAAAACTGCCCAGGAAATGAGCAATGGTTGCGGGGAGGGGGATACATATTAGGTGTAAAAAGCAGGACCCAAAAGGAATCACTGTGGCATCTCAATTTTATTTCAAAAAAAGTTAAAAAAAAAAAAAAAAAGCCCAGTCAACAAATGTTAAAAGTAAGTGCTAGAGAAATTGAACTTGAGGGTCTCATGATAGGGAGGAATAACAGAGAACTGTCGACCTATCCCTCTCTCACTCCTGCTCAGTCTTTTTCCCTGCCTTTGCTCACCTGTCTCCCCACCTGCTAGTTCTTCACTTCTTCCCAACAGAATTCCACTGGCAGCTCGGGGCTGCCAAAGTGTCTCCTCTTCCAGAAGCCCCACCTCTAGTGCCCTCTGATGCTCCCCGAGCTCAGCAGCCACACGGGGCTCAAGCACAGTTACTCATGTAACACCAAGTATCTTCCAGTGCTGCAAGTACCACTGTGGGGGCCCATCAGGCGGACCAGACCTGTCAGCCCCAAAGCCCAGGCCAGACCCTCTACCACCTGTGCCCAGGAGCCCTGAGGACAGAGGATCTGTCGGGTTCACTCGGGAAGGTGGCCATGCGGAGACTGAAAAGGGGGAGAGTTCTCCCAGTCCGGACAAGTTCGGTTATCCCCTGTGACCCTGATTTTCTAACTGCAACTTACGGCTACTGCTGAAGAGCAGTAAGCTGGGGAGCCCAGCCCAGGGGGATGGACGCCAGCCTGGCAGATCGCCGGCGCCAAAAAGCCTTCATGACACGCTGTGGTCCCCTGCCTCTGGGGGATGTCCCTGTTCTGCCCACTCCTGCCTTCAGCTGAAGAGTCACAGAAGGGGCGGGGCTGTCCAAAGCGGGACCACACTGCTCACCTCATACTTGTTAGGTGCGATGAAGTTTAAGGTCTCATCAGGGTCATACAGGATGGAGAACGCCAACTCCAACACCTCCTGAAAGAGAAAGGGTTTCAGTTCCGTGGGGGCGGGGGTGGCCTGGGCTCTGCGCGCCAAGATCTTGGCCAAATTCCTTGTCACCTGGCACCGTCACTGAAGGCGTTGATTCAGACGTGGTATCACCAGGCCCCCAGCACGTGCACCAGTGTGGCTGGACACGAGGCATCGTGGTATGAGCGCTAACTCACCCACCCCCCACCTGAGTCACACCTAACATGTGGATGCTCCTAACACTGGAGAAAAGTCATTTCTCAACACTCAAAACCTCTGCATCTCAGAGTCCAAGACTGTAGGTGACCTACATATGTAGGTACGTATGTTGGTGATCAGACTGAAAGTCGTAACGGTTTAGAAACCACCACAACAATAACAAATTGTGGCCAAAGATGACAGAATTTAAGCATCAACAACATAACTGTAATGGACTGGGACAAATACCAATTTGCTTAAATCCATGAGTTCATAGTACTACTAAACAAAACAAAACAAAACACATACACAAAATTGGTCAATGTTGGATGATACCAGAGAACCAACTCACTGTTTTAAAAGTAGGTACTTTTACAAAAGGAAAGAATCAAGCACTTACTCTCCTTTCTTATATAAACTGGACCACTGGGAAGCCAAGAGTAGATGATGGTAAGTTTCTGTTTAGAGAAGTAGTTCAGCTCATAAATGAGAATGACCGCATTAGAACACCACTAGTTTGCAAATCTTAATTTACCCGTGGAAGAGGCACTTAGCACCAAGAGTCTGCTAACATCGCAAAAAGAAAGACGATCACATCATGTGTCTCTTGATAGAACATAACACCACCTAGGAAGTCATCCTGTCCACCCCCCCCAAAAAAGGGGGTCAAACCTGAACTGGATCAACCTCCCCCTAAATCTCTCCACCAACGTACAGATCTGGGACAGAGAAGCAAGTTAAACTATACCACGGGGAGACAATCAGCACATTTCAGACTCTGAGAAACTACCAAACAAGCAACCTGGTTTCTTCAACTAATAAACCGCAAAGAGGAAAACACAGATGGAAAAGAGAAAGAGGAACTAAAGACTAATCACAATGTGCATATCCTATTTGGATTCTGTTTCAGTGAACAAAACGGGTATGAGTATGCATATGTGTGCACGTGTGTGTGTACACGTAAGCACTTATAAATTTTTATACAGAGAAATTATTTATAAGAATACAAACATATATGGAATATTTGATACTAAATGACAACTTTCAAAATTTCTTTTCAGGTGTGATAACGGTATTGCGGTTATGTGAAGAGTCCTTATCATTTACAGATACATTCTAAATATTTAAGAGGAAATGACATCATACTTGATTTTTTCTTTGATGTAATAATAAGCGGATGGGTAGGACCGGCCACGGTTGTTGAGGCTGGGGTGATGCGTATGTGCGGGTTCTATCTGTTTTTGTGTATGTTCAAAACTGTTCTTAGTAAGAGCCATAGGAATAACTTACAGGGAGAGAAGGGGGGTGGGAGAGCGTGTACTTAAACCACGACTACCGCCTGAACCCTCCGGCGTCACCGTGACCGTGACCGTGACTCCGGCAGGCTTGCTGCTCCGCTCACCTTGTTCTGTTTCAGAGCGCTCTTCTCTTTCATGTGGGGGCAATCCTTCCCAGTGACGATGGCCTTAATGTCTGCAACAGGAACTGGGAAATGAAGGGCATTAGTCTCTGGAAGATTCACGCTGCGAGTGGGTCTTTGCATCAGTGCTGGAAGGGGAGCCCCAGCCCCCAGACCAAAGGGCTGTGTCAGCTCAGACAGAGTGGCCTGGTGCTACTTCCCGGGGCCTTGGCCTGCTGGGCTGCGTCCAATCTCACCGGGGGTCAGTTCAGGGCTTTGGGATCGTCTCCCCGAGGACCGGAGCCTTAGACACCCACGTCACTTCCACGGCACCGTGAGGAAGGCGACAAGGCCTCCAGCGCAAACAGCCGTGCTCACTACCTCCCAGCCCCTGCCCTAAGGCCTTGACATACATGACTCATTCAATTCTGATGAGGGACATGTGCCTATTGCTCCCATTTTGCACAAGAAACCAAGGCAGAGGTGAGAGTTAACCTGCATTAATTAGAATTAACGGCAAAGCTTGGATTTGAATCCAGGCAGTCTGGCTTCAGAGCCCCGGCTGTGCCACCGCCTTTCGGTACAGTCTGGTAGCGCCCCTGACAATCTACCAGCCCCATTCCCACTGGGGATCCCACGGGCTTCCCCGAGCAGCCCTGTGAGGTAGTCCAGGTAGAGAGGACCTCTGACAGATGAGCAGACAGGTCCAGGGAGACAAGTGGTCCACGACCAGATAATCGGCTTGAGATAACCAGGACTAAAACTCAGGTCTCCTGGGGCGCCTGGGTGGCTCAGTCAGTTAAGCGTCTGCATTCGGCCCAGGTCATGATCCCAGGGTCCTGGGATCGAGCCCGGTGTCAGGCTCTCTGCTCAGCGGGGCGTCTGCTTCTCCCTCTCCCTAGTCCTGCTGTCCTCCCTGCTTGTGCTCTCTCTCTCTCTCTCTCTTTCTGTCAAATAAATAAATAAAATCTTTTAAAAACAAACTTAGGTCTCCTGACATCGAGTCCAGCTACTACGACACACTGACGGAGAAATGAACCTACTTTTCTCCTGCAGGGATTCAAACGTCACCTCCCCTTGAGGGTTGTCATCCAAGTCACCATAGTGCAGGACTTTGTGGTTCAGTGCCAAGCGGCAGTACCAGAAACGTTCTGGAACACAAGGCAAGACAAGCAGGTGACCAGGGACAGTTCTGGCAAAGGCCAGGGCACATGAAGGGCAAAAGGATGACATGTTCCCGGCCTGCTCCCTGCAGGCTCTGTCCGGCAGGCTCCCTCCCCCGTGCGGTGACTCGGAGAGGTAAGGACCAGCCCAGCCGCCCAGACCCCCTCACCTTGCCTCCGACGGTTCCCAATCTTCCGGAAGCTGCTGCCCTCACAGAGCCGGTTCAGCCGCTGCTGCTTGATCAGCTCCAGGATCTCAGGCTGGATCTTCTCCCTCAGCTCCCTGGGGGGACGCGCACGGAAGCAAGGGGAGGTGAAGACACGGCAGGGCTGGTGGTGCCTCCCCC